TGTGTCTATCAGCGAGGATATAGCTTATACTAGAGTAGGGGGGGTTCAAAATGGATCATCTTTGAGATTCTCCGTCACCTGAACAGCTGATCAAACGTTTCCGGACATTTTCATTTAAATCAGGTCAGCAGGTGACTGATTTCATAAGGAATGTCCCCCACATGACTTGGGCTTCAATTATTCACTCGGCTCTCTGTTGCTCCGCAGATCCCCTCTGCTGCTGTATGAAGCCACAGCGCAGTTCAACGCAGTTTCAAAATGCATTTATTTTGGATGAAAAAGGCCTTTTTTCAGAGAGAATAACAGCAGCACACAAACATGCATCTTCTCCTGCTGATGCACTGTCATTTCAATCTTTCTCAAAGGCCTTTTTATAATAAGTATAGAAAATATACTTAACCACAGAATGCAGAAGGGCATACATACCAGTCACAGATTGCATCTTCTAATGTCCAGCTGGCGCAGGAAATCACAAAGTCAGCTGAGCAGCTAAAACTAGTTACAGCCAGAACCAAACGAGGCCCAACTGCCAAGGACAAACAGGTCCGCCGGCCTGAAGCCTACAAGCGCAACAGCCCTGCGGCACACATTTGCCGCTAGCTCCTGCAGGAGCTCCGACAGGCCTCGGGGTCCCCTGATTCCGTTGTGCTCTCAGCCAGAGAAAGCTGACTGCGTGGATGCAGATTGAGGGGAGCTGGAGGCCAATAACTAATGCATGTTTAGTTATAGATGACAGAAAGGGGCTGCTGCTTAATTGTGTTTTGGGCAGACAGGGATGATGAGAGCACGTGCAGGGCTCCTGTATTCACAATCAACACTCGCGGCCTTTCTGGCACAAGCAGAAGGAACGGACTCCTCCTGCGGCGCCAGCCGGAGAGCGCGAGAGCACATCCACGGATCCCGGCTCCCGCTCCCTCACCTTTCGGGTCGTGCTTGCGCAGCACCAGTTTCTCGCGGAGCCGGTTCCTCTTGGTGTTGAAGCAGTAGCCCGTCCCGGCAGCACTCACCATCTGAACCAGGATCGTCCTACAAGAGAAGCGACACATGGGCGCCTGACAGCAGATCCAAGGGCCTGCGGATCCCCTCTCTCTTCTCGGCCTTCCACACCGGGTCTTTCTTGTGGACCTCGGGCGGAATCGACACTGCCTGAACGCCAAGCGAGTTCTTCAACCAGGGCTGCTGAAAGACTCCAAGCTGACTTTTTTTCCATCCTTCACAGCAAGGAACCCAAGCAGTTCTTAACCATACTCCAAGACAAATGTTATTGTGAAGCTTTTTAAGAACCTTTTGTCTCCGCAGCCAAGACATTCAACTTGAAAATAATATAATGCTTTTACCTTCTTTTATGCGTTTATGCTTCAGTATCTTTTTCTTGCACTATAACTAAACTTGAATGCCTGAGCCATTTGCCTAATGGTGCCATTTTTCACTGGGCCTGGTGTCATGGATACAGCAACAACAGGAGTACAGTGGGTCTTCCCAGGGTTCAATGGGGGTGGCTAGCTGGGAAACGCAACCACGGGCGAGACTGTACCTAGACAGGGATTGACTTTCCCAGTGATCGGACGCCTCTTGCTGGCCATCAGCTGTCACTTCACGTACCACAGATGCTACTCATGCTTTAGGAAACAGTTTTCAAAAACCAGAAGTTGCTTCTACATTCTAAACATTACCTTACTCTGCGTCACACTGTTCTTTTTATTAGTCACATTAACAAAGAATGCCTCAACTTGTTTGCCATTATAGCCATTCTTATAAGGCACCAAAGAAGAGTTGGCAGGCAGCAGCAGATCAGATGTCCAAACCTGCCACAGCTGTAAGCCCAAGGTTCAGAGAAGTGCGGCGAGATGGAGCAGACCCAGACGCAGCTGGTAACTAGCGTGAGAGATTGGCCTCACCACTGGGACACAGATGAATTTGTTCAAATAAAACTTCACAAGTTTCAAGCTGTGGTTTTAAAACTGTGGTCTTTTAATTAGCTGAAGGATATTGGGGGAAAAATCACACAGGGTAAGAACATACACAAAAAAGGAGGCCATTTGGCCCATCTAACCCATAGGGTAGTTAGCAGCTAATTGATCCCAGGATCTCATACAGCTGTTTCTTGAGAGAAACTAGGTTTTAACAGGACTGGGTTTTAACAAGCTTGTTCCACACTCCCACAACTCTTGAGGTGAAGAGAAGTGTTCTCAATTTTAAATCCACTTCTACACAGTTTCTACCTTTGTGTACTATGATGCAGTTTTCACTGCTCATTCTGAAGAAGTCCACACAATATTTTTGTGGCACAGACTATTTCTTATCACATAAAAAACAACATATAAAGTTAAAAAAGAGAGAGAGAGACTTACTTGGATTTGCCCCTGGCCACTGTTTCCCACATGAAAGAAAGAAAAGAGTATTAGCATGTATGTGTTTGGACACCACAGTCAAAACATAAAATGACCTAAAAACAGGCAGAACACGATCATTCGTGTACATCCGTTTCTGTACCAAGATCTTTCACGGAGAGAGGGGGATTCCCACTTTAATATTAGCTCTGAAACTGCCAAGGCATTCCTGCTTTCCCTTCTGGCCAGTTAGCTTCCAGATTGCTTCCCTATATGCTGCATCTAAGTCTCTAAATGTACTTCCTGAGATCAGCTAGATTTTGATTCATCTAGCAGGAATTTAAAAATGGGACTAATCCTTTACTTACTTAAAGATGTAAACCTTCAACTAAGGAACACCCACAAAAAACAAGTCAATTCCAATCAAACTCTAGAGGCAGCCATAGACTCTGCAGGGCTGTGGCAGAGTGACTTGAGTGGGCTGTTTCAGCACACCTTGTCTTCTCAGCAATCAGAAGCAGGTCACCTGTACCCCAGACATTACAACTCACACAGTCCACACATACTGCGGCAGCACCGGGCTGTCCTTCTGGAACGACAGCTTCCCTGCAACAAAGCTCGTCAGACCTGCCGCAGTCCAACAACTTTAGCTACGCTGACACCTAAAGCATAATAAATGTAGCCTAACATTTCTCCTGCAACATGTTAGGAGCATGTTATTCCAAGGAACATGGATCAGGGAACACGGTGTTCCCTTTTCTGTCAATATTCCTTCCTTAACCAGTTAAATCAACTGAAAAAACACTGACAACCTAGAGAGATGTTTGCACAGAAGGGTAGTAATTGGAGCAGTATGGGTCCAAAGAATTGCACAGTGCAAAAGCAGCATCCCCTACTGGGATTTGAACCTGCAGCCCTCTGTGGTCTCTTATGTGCTGTGGCACAAGCTGCTTCTGATAGGTAGCATACAAAATGCCATGGTAACAACACACAGAAACAAAACCCGTCTTTGATGAAGTGTGAGAGTGATCATTTCTAGCGGCACTTATACAAAACTGGAAGCAAAGAGGCGGGCATTATGGTATTACGCTCCCTCAAACACTGAAGCAGCACGAACCTGTACGAGGTCAATTCAATAACTGCATGCCGACTTAGTCTGGGATCAAGCAGACCACCTCTCACCCACAAAGGAATGAGCGCCTTTCATTGCATTACAGAAAGTAGTGGATTTGTTGTAAGACTTAACAAGTTCTCTGGAGAATAAAACAACCTTTAAACAAACTGCTGATTTTGTGTCATTTTTCCCCAAAAAGCTGGGTTAGGCAAATGACTACCTTTATTATCATTTGAAAATTCAGGGCGCTTCAAGTCGCCTAAGCTGCGCTCGAAGGTACGAAATTCCGTGAGAACTAGTGCCGTGAGCTGCACGGGTACATACACTCCATCGCTCCCGGTTAGAGCCGAGAGGCCAAATTAGTGTGGAGTGACCTGGCCTGACAGTGAAACTTAACTTTCGCTCCACAAAAATGCCACGTCAGAGCCACTTTGTTAAAAGATTCAAGATCTAGGCAAGAGCTGTCTAACAGAGTTTTATTTGACTGTAATGACTCCTAGAATTCAATTTAATGTCGCGCACAGCACTGGTTCAGATCCGCAAATGACTTCGTTAAAAATACAACATTAAAATACATAATCTACAATGTATTTAAATATTTTCCAGATATTAAGTCTTAATATTATTATTCTTCGACAAATCCTTCAATCCAGGTACGAATCCCGTATTAAATCAGTCGTTCATGAATGCATTTCTTTGTAAATTATTATTGTAACAGCCAGACACAAATGTATGTGGATTCTCACAGAGGACTCTTTGAAATTATTATTATCGTTTAAATTGGCACATCTGCATCCACGTTTAAGCAATAAAGTAGATCGAGAAGGGGTATAGGACAGTATTACCACGCTACAGTATTTTCTGCGATTTCAGTTAAATCGAAAGATGTTTCATACAGATCTCTACAGCTTACACGTTTGGTCTATCAATTTGAAGCAAAACAAATAAACGAAAAACATTCTATAATCGTCGAACAGTACTTCATTATTCATGCATTCGAACTGTGTATATTGTCTCTATACTTACAATTTACCGCTGTTAGAAACATGTTTCAAGACAACCACCTTCACAAAACAGTGTCACATTGAAGAAAAATAATGGACGCGATACATTTAAAAACAACTTCCGGGAACCAGCGCACAACTGCATCCGGGTCATTCAATTATTTAACCCTTTCGAGGACGGAAAGCCTCGGCGCCAAAAGAAAAGAAGAAAACCGAAAGTTACGTAAAGTGGGACCCCTGCAAACAGTGACTCACAACTCAATTGTCACAATACACCTGAAACCAGTGATTGTCTGACTTTGTTTCTGAGATATTAAGGATTTTTTTAGATTTTGTTTGTGCCAAATTAGTCATATTATTGTGCTTTTGTAATTCATAATGTTACATATTTTTTTTAAGGACGTTATGTCACTCAGGTACCCACTGACAGTCCCATACCACTTCTTGGCACATCAGTGCACCAATCTTGAAGGAAGAGTTAAACTGGGGAAAGAAGGGACCTACAGATGTTCCAAGGAACTCCAGATGCTCCCCTAATCTGTGAAGCCTGGCCTGGACACACATGGTCACCTCTGGAATTGGCTCACAATCTTTACCGATGCTGTAACTACATGAAGCAGCTGAATTAATTCTGAGTTTTACTAAAATATATTGTCCATGTCTTATGTAGAAAAAAAGGCTTCCGTACTTTGCTATGCAGCATGACAGTGACCCAAAACACACAGCCAGAGCAACCAGGAAGCTCATCAAGGGAAACATGGAAAATCTTATACAGGCCAAGTCTGTCTCCGGGTATAAATCTAAGTGAGTAGCATTCTACATAGTGAAGAGCAATCTGAACTCAGAACACCCTAGAAATAGACAAGAACTCAAAGTGGCTGGTGAGCTCAGTAACCAGTAGATGAGGTAGACCAACAGGCATAAAATGGATTCCTGTGGCACTCCAGTGTTACATGTGGCAATATAGTGGCTCTTAAGATAATGTACTTTCTTTCCTGTTTCACACCCATGCACTACCCTGGAGTCCTCTTGCTTTTAGTATAGGAATTATTTCATTTAATTAGGAACATTATCAAAAAACTGAAAATGTATCATATACTGCAGTGTCATCTGTCCAAGTTGCTTGTTTGAAGGTTACTAGCACGTTAGCATTGCAGG